AAGAGTTTGCTCTCTTGTGCTCTTGGTTTCTCTTGGTTCCTCTTGGTTCTCTTGGGACTCTCGTTGCTTGGGGCACGCTCTCTTAGCTCTCCCACATTCACCTACATGGTCCGCTGCCACGTGGGTCCCCACACAACGGACTAACGGACTGGACCTGGCCTCATGCTGAGCTGGACTTGGCTGCACCATGGAACGGAAACTCTGGACACTGGCTTTGCTTTTAGCTTTACTGAAATCCTAGCTACACTTCTTCTATGACTGGAATGGGATTTTAGAAACCCAGGGATGTAATTTCACGAAAATAAAGCTGTCTACCACATCTCATCCTCCTTGGGGGCCTCCAGAAATGCTTGTTCCAGCAGTACTCCAAGAATCCCACACCCACTAGAATAAAGAAAGACCACCCATGCTTTTCTCCAATATCATGTACATTAGTAAATATGTCTTGTGCCACATTAAAAAATGGGCTATAAGGAAATATGTTTTTAGAAATTATTAAATGTGCTTATAAATGTTTCAATCTAAAAAGTACTCATATATAACAGATAATTCACAATTTTGTTTACTTAGTTTTCACTAGAAATTAGTTTTTTTAAGGTTATGAATTCTGATATATGTAATTAAAGCTACAGAAATTAAAAGTAACTGGGAAAAGAACAGGAGAAATAGGATATGTTTTGGCTTTTAGAAAATGGTATGAAATATGAAGATGCTTTTATTAAGGGAAGGGAAGTAATTTTGTCCTAATTATTTTTGAATGGGTGAGTGTGCTAAAAGGGACACAAAGTTTTAGAAAGTTTATGAAAAAGGAGTCTTGAGAAAGGAAATTTTACGTGTGGTCAAGCTGAATAAGACTGAAATTTAATTAAGTAGATGAATTTAAGTATCAAAAGTAAGGTGAAGCCAAATTAGAGTTTGGTTTTCTCTCTGTTAAAGGACTAGTGGCCTGCCGCTGATACTGTGAAACAGTTTTCTGCCTACAGAGCAAAGATTCTGTGTTTTATCGAAATAATTTCTGTTTTATATTGTCTTAATTGGGTCCTTGATTACTTAAGAAATTGGATCTCCTCAATAGTAAGAACTAAGTTTTGCTAGTCATTATGTAAAGTTCAGTATTTTTTTCAAAAATTTTCATTGCCACTTTGGTCAAGTGGATAATTACATATTGCTTCATAATGACTTATGATCCTATTTATCAAATAGTCAAACCTCTTTATATATTTTGACAAGCTTCCCAAAATTTATATTATAAATGAGAGGCTTCACCTGGGAATGACTTTGAGATGTTCCAGAAGGGCCCCTAGAATACCTCAAAAAATTCGTTTTCTCTCCTTACAAAAGAGAAATGTTAACCTACTTAGGCTTGCCCGGCTGGATGTGGCTCAGCGGTTAAGCGTCGACCTAGGATCCAGGCGATCGGGGTTCGATTCCTGGTCAGGGCACATGCCCGGGTTGCGGGCTGCAGCCGATCAATGACTCTCTCATCACTGATGTTTCTATCTCTCTCTCTCTCTCTCTCCCTTTCCTTTCCTCTCTCTGAAATCAATAAAGATATATTAACAAAAAAACAAACAAACAAAAAAACTACTTAGGCTTATTTTGGTGTGGTGAAATTACATGGAAAGCACTGTCAAATAAAAAAATAACACTGAGACTTCTTTATGTTGTATTTGTATAAGTATATGTTATAAATGTTCCAGAAATATATGTAAAATTGCTGGAAATCTGAAATAAAATGTCATCAAAATTTAGGGACACACTAAAACAACTAAACCTGAGTATCAGATTGTGGCACATGTGGATGAAGTCCATTCTGGTTTTGCAAAAATGGCCCTTAATTGCCAGACTTTTACCATCCCAATGTCCTTGTAACATGGCAACAGTCTGCTCCTGAGCCAGAGAAATTAAGATGGATAAACAATGGCTGTAAATAAATGAATTACTGGGGCTACGGGAAACACAGGACAGCTGCTTGGTTCTTCCCGGCTCCCTGGCACTTTTCAGTTTTTACATTCCTTCATCCACCATGGTACATTTGGGCGGGACTTCATCCAACGGCCACTTAGTTTGGGTAAACAGTATGTTCTTGTTGTTTGTTGTGTGTGTGTTTTCCTACATGGGTTGAAGCTTTTCTCTGTCACAAGGCTGATGCCCTCACTGTGGCAAAGAAACTATTAGAAATTTTCCCACTTGGAGCATACCTTCCCAAATCTCTAGTAACTGAGGCACCCACTTCACTGGGCAAAACATATGAGTTGTGATGGACAATCTTGCAAACTTCTTGGAATTATCACTGGCCGTATCTCCCTCAGTTATCAGGCAACACTGAGAGAACTAACGGGAAGACTAGATCAGCAAACTGAGTTTCATTACACAGTACTGAATGAACTGATAAGAAGGGTTATGATTTTATGGCATTTTATTTAAAATATTGATAATTTTTAAAATCTTGTTTTCCAGATACAAGGAATTTTTCTTCTTTACAACTTTGTTATTTTTTTCTTTCTAACTGATCCCTCCAGACTTTTGGAAATTCTCAACAATTGAGTACTTTTATTTTCTTTCTTTTTTTTTTTTTTTTATGGTGGCAGGATGCGAAAGTATCATTTATTACACTTCCATGATAAACACATTTCCTGTGAATTTTTAAAAAAATGCTGTTTTTTCTGTGTCCTTGGGATTTTCAAAGAAACCGGTCTCGATGCTCCTTCAGTTCCCTGGTTGTGGGGCTTCTGTTCAGCCAGATTTCAGGAGGCTCTGAGTGATGGTGGTTCTGTATTTTAGTTGTAATGTTGATGTGGTTGCGGGAGGCGGCTGTTACCCGCCATCTCCCTCGGGTACTTTTATTTTCATGTCTGTATGTTTGTTTGCATAAGTTCAATAGGAATCTATTCTCTTTATAACAGGTCAACTGGAAACTAGATATATTATAAAGCTTTGACTGGAATGTCATACTTGAGAGAGAGATGCATAAACTCGAATATGACCAGAAAGCTTTAGGAATTAAGATTGACTCTGACAGCCAATACAGAAAAACAGTCTGGTACCTTGCTTACCTTGCTTCACAGTGGTCTTTCCAGGTAAGCAAGAAAGGTTGCTTACTGGGAGATGCAAAGAAAGAACCTCAGGATATTTTGGGGACCTCGAGAAGGAAGGAATTAACTCCAAAGCTACAGGTATTGTAGGCAAAGTCTGATGGCAAGTATGCTTCCTGGCTTCTCAGCCTCAAGAGGACTTTTAAAGTTCAACCTGAAGATTCCTTATAAAAAATTCCAGCAATGCAGATTTAAAAGAGCCCATGTGCTTGACTACTATCCTTGTTGGAATTGTATCAGGCCAAGTTTATTGAAACTAGACTTCTTTTGCAAATAAATTAGTTTCAATTTGGCTATCTTAATGAGGGAGGAAATTGCTTCAATAGAAACTATAATATACCTTTGTGGATATTAAGTTCTAGTGCTGTTGTCTTTTCAGGTTTTTTATTTTATTTTAATTTCTGCCTATAAACTAAGCTGGATCTTGAATTTTTCCAGTTTTCTTAAATATTTGGCTGCAGCCCTCCAAGCTAACATTTTCATTTTCCCATCCCTTGGCTTGGAATCATGGGAACTAAAACTGCCTGTTTCCCAAGGCCATGCAAGCTAAAGAGGGGCAACTTGATGTAGACGTCAGAAAAATCACCACAGCAGCTCATCTATGGACAATCTTTGTTCTTGCTGCAGAAAGATCACCAGAGACATTCAAACTACAGACCAGGAAAACCTATCGGACTGTCACTGCCTGCCCTCACTCCAAAGGAAGATATTTCAAGACAGATATCTAGAAATTTTGATTGCCTGCCTTCAGAACTCAGAAACTGAGATTATAGTCTCCTCTACATATTAAATTTTGTTTTTCTTTTGTTTCTATAGACATGAGTCTAATTAAATACCTGATTGCTTGCACTATAGACTTAACTTTGGGAGCCATTTGCATCACTGCTTCCTGAAATGAGACACAACTATTTACCTGAACAGAACTTCTCTCAAGTCTGAGACTGATTCAATGACATATAGAACAATCTAGCAACCCAACTTTTGCAGTGTGAAACTTCCAGGGAAGTTTCAGGGGAGGGAACTGTGGGGATCCAGAAAGAGTCACCCCAAGAGGTGCTTCTGTGGAATTCAGATTGTTTTAATCTAAAGGTTCAGCTGAAACTCTGCCCCCAACCCTTAACTGCCTAGAAGAATTTGAATTAGAAGACTTGCCCATAGAAATGGTCAGGGATAACCTTTCAACCCACTTCAAGGCAGAGCAAACTTTTATTCACTAAAGGTCTGCTCTTATCATCCTGCAATGACCATTGGAAGCCCTCAAGGTCATTACCTCATCCTTAGCTCAGGATGTCTTACATACCTCAGTCCCCCTTTCCATGTCTGAACTTCTCCTGCATGTGGGGTCTCTGAGTCTTTCATGTATATGGGGTTTCCATACATATGTATGTATTAAATTTGGTTTTCTCTTGCTAATCTGTCTCAGGTCTATTTGATTATTAGACCAGCCAGAAGAACCTTGAGCGTAGAGGAAAGTTTGTTCTTCCACCACATCAGCATTACAGGTCTGGCCTCAGGACATGGCCTCTCTTGAGCCTGGGAATCTGGCTTGGTTTGGTGCTTTTGGACTGGACCCAACCTGGCCTCTACTTGGAAGTGATGTGACCAAATTTTGAAATTTAGATTCATAACATGTAGGATGCAAATTAATCTGTCTTCTTGTACTCAGTTTTATGTTAGAACAACCACTACTATACATGGTTACAGAAGAGCAAAACCCCCCATTGATTTGTATATTCCTAATTTGAAATGCATGTAATATAATCTTGATGAAGTTAACCTCACCTCTGACCATAGGCAAAGCTGTTTAAATTGTTAACAAGCTGGAAGTGAATTACTTAAATATTATTTAAGTGAATTACTAAGAATTATTTAAGAGAACAGATGAGGAAAACAGGATTTCCTTACCAATTAGTAGAGCTTCTTTCTCTGATTTTAAGCCTTGACTTCTTTTCTCGATGTTGTTCTCTCGGTCTTGGTTGACTAATGCGACTGTCAACACATTGATTTCCTATAAAGTTAAAAAAGCAAAAAATGTATAGATATTTATGTAGATTCTGTGTGTTTTAGCAAAAGCCACCAGGTCCCTTAAACTCTAGAAAAGAGGTCATTGCTTACATTTATAACTGAAGATAAACTTTTATAAATAATTGCTCTATTTGTCCAACAGTAGAAAATAATTCTAAAACTTATGCTCCTGGCTACAGCTCCCAGAAAACCAAGTAATTCTCTGCAAAAGTGGCAAATTTGGTGCAAATTATCTTAGGTTTTGTCCATGTTCTGATTAAACTGTTAGCAAGAACTGTATTTGACTGTAAAACTTTAACAAGTTTTATTTCAAATATGGAAAATTTTCTGAAAAGCATACAAAGGTTGATTTATAATTCTATGCTAGTAATTTGTGTTTGTGTGTGAAATAGGGCCCATTGGGAAGGTGAGATAGAGTTGTTAGGAGTGTTTAAGTTGAGTAGGTATACATCCTTATACACAACTGCGAACGGTAGATAAAGCAAAAGTTGGGAAATTCTTTTCTTTGGAAACTAAAAATGAAGAATTGTACAACAAACCAATAACACATGAAACATTGAGGCTGGGCTATTTTTAGTTCTCTCTATAGCCTTTTTTATTTAAAACCAGAGAAAAAGATTTAACTCATATCCTTCCAAACTTGATATTAGGACTCAAAATGGAGAGTGATTTAACAGAAAGTCAAATTTAATGATCAGAGGCCTGCATACATGGGGCAGTATAATCATTAGGGTAGTCGAATCTTGTTGGGAAATTTCTTGATAGACAGGTCTCAATGAAGAATTAGCATACTGAGCAAAGACTTAAGATAATGTTTCTAATAGATGGTAGGGAATCTGCCAGAGGGTAGGCAGGTAAGGATGAAGGAGAACTGAGAAAGTCTGGGTAAATGGTTTGGCAGGTGTTACCAGGACTGGAACTGGCTATAGGATATTTAGCTAGTTACTACAAATGATCAAAATTGGCCAGGTAAAAGAATACAGGAAATTGTTGGGAGTAATGTTGAGCACATAAAGAACACAAGTCTCATCTGAAGGCATTCTTATTAAATAAAAGAGAAGAAAAAAAGTAAGTCTCAGTGCATGACAATAAAAATAGATCTATGAGCTGACTTTAACTTATGATCTACTACTTTGCAAATTGAGGATAATTAAACATGGCCAGGAAAGAAGGTTCTCCTAGAAAATTGCAGTTGGTAAAGCAACATCCATTGAGCATTTTGGAGGCTCCTCTAAAGCTCACGCTTACCTGCTGAAGACTGAGTGATGAAATCCAACTGAGAGGTGAAGACAGGCAAGGTAAAGAACTGGGGGATCACAGTGCTGTGATAGATGAGAAGGAGGGTTTTTGTTGACTAGAGGATACCAACTGAGGCCTGAGGCTGATGGTAGGAGCGCGCCCATGAGGACAGAGGTCAGAAAAGGTTTGGGGAATGGTCTAAGGAAAGTTTGAAGCCAGCTGGACATAAAAGGCCATTAGAGGAGAAAAATGCTCTCATGCTTCCAAAAAGGGATCTTGCAAACCAGCTCCAGCAGAAATGCCCTTAACTTTAAAACCTAACAAATCCAAAGGCTTATGTAGATGGGAATAGAATATTTTATCAATAGGAGTTAGACAGAAGGGAATAGGAATTCCTCTGTGGTGAAATTCATGTTGTACTTTCCCATTAGACTGTGTCAATTAGAGCAGAGGGGGCTGTGTGGGCACTTCATCTCCGTGGGCCAGTGGTCAAGGAGCTTGCTGAGTTCTCTTAGTTGTTTGCCCTAAGGAAAAATAGGTCTCATAGGGACATGGCACTGGGTTTCCATGCCTGGGAAGATAAGACTACTGAGCAGAGTACAGGCTCTGTAAAGGTCTCCTGACAGAGGCTTATGGGCAGAGGATGGAAAACTATTAACTAGGGTGATTGTTGTATGACTTGAGAAAAATATAAATAATGACCCCTAGGGCTGAGTGGAAACAGTATCTCCAAGAAAGGGTGATCTGTCACAGCTTGGACAATAATTAGGGACAAATGAAATTACTGCCCACATTAATTGCCAAAATTGAGTGGTGTCCTGGGGCCATCGCACAGTTGAGGATCCAGGTTTAGGGAGGAAAGTGGACCAGAGAGCTGGTAGCGCATCAGGAGTCAGCAGGGAACAGCAAGTGCAGAATAGATTGGGACCACTTGAGTGCTGTCAGGCACCTGTCCCCATGTTCAAAAGTGGAGTCATAAAGAAAGGGGGACTCGGAGCAGGCCCCAACAAATGCTACTGAATAACGATGTCTACAAGGAGCTGATGTGGCCTATCAATGACTGTTGCTTTGATGACTGTTGCTTTGATGATGTTTTAGGGTTGGACAAATGAGGATAGAAAGATAAGAGTCCTAGGATTACCTTTCTGTGGAAATAAATTTAAGACTGAATATTGCAGCCTGTGCTCTTCTGACCACAAGTGGTTGATCCTCCAGGGTCATCATCAGTGACTGTGGAGTAGACACACCTCTTTGCAAGACTCCCGCAAGTGTCCAGGGCCTGGGCCTACCAGGGACCTAAGGCCTGACGGAGGCTTCAACCTTTGGGTACTACTGTGAGTTGTGTTTGGGTGGGTATGAAGGTGCTTTTCTGACTCCTCAAGAAGGCAAAGGAACTAGGCTGAGAGGTGGTATCGTACCTAATGAAGCTGATCAGGCAGGCTCCAAGGAGTTCTTGCATATTATAAGTTGGCCTCAAGATCTTATCTCCAAAAGTGGAACTATCATTTCCACTGCAGTCAAAGGTGTCCAAGCATATTAACTAGAGACTTGGATCTATAACATCATTTAGTAAAGTTGACCAACCTGAGCCTACTCAAGAGTTACCATTAAGTGCCTTGGAGTCCAAGCATGCCTCAGGCATGATATAAAAGCTCAGACTTGCTGACAAAGTCACAGAGTTAAAAGATGGATGGATACTTATGTCATACCTTTTGCCAGAGAAAAAATTTAAAGTTAACCTGGTGTGTTTTAAGGGCTAGAAAACAAAATAGTGATTTTAGATAGCCACTTGATGGGCTGTGCTTCTATATTTTTCCACTGTAAAATAAGGGAGGGATGTTTCAATGACTCATTAGTTAAGGGTTCATTTGAAAAATAAAGTAAATTTGATTTGTCTGTATTTATTTTCAGGTTGAACCTTATAATTATTGGTAGGCTGTGAGTTTGGGGTAGTCTACAAAGTACAAAGTAGATATAAGCAACACCTGTTCCTCTCCTTCCATGTTGTACTTAGTGCCTATAAATCTAAACGATCATCCAGCCTTTGTCAAAAGATCTCCATCATCATGACTAGTATGGTGAAGAAAATGCATAGAGAAAATGTGGAACTAAATAACTTCCCAACCAAACCTTTGTTGCATTAAGCTAAGCCTGTTTTCACTTTCGGTCACCCAATAAATATTTATGCCACATCCATATATCACATGCCTACTCTATGCCAAGGAATGCTAAGTTTTTAAGGATACTGAGTGGCAAGAAGCATGTGCTTACTCAGGGGCTAGCAAGCAATTCTTAGAGAAGTTCTATAAGAAAACTTATAGGAAATGTAATTAGATGGAGCTGAAGAAGTAGGTAGATCATGATATGGAGTTTGGAATTTTTTAGAAGGTTTAACTAATGAACAGTGTTTGGCAGATGAGTTACATGAATAATCCTGAATTTTAGATTATTGGTTTGGAGGCAAGAGAAACTGGAGGCAGAATTCCAGGTTGCAATAGGCTATTGCAATAGTCTGTTTTTTACCTTTTCATGAGGGTCCAAACCAAGTCAGTGGTGTGCAAAACATAAGAGATATTTAAGAGGAACCAGGTAACCTGATGAATGAGGAAAATGTGGAGAGTGATTAGGTGCCTTGGTGAATAGGAAAGCAGAGGAAGAAGCAAATACAGGAGATGATGTGTTCAATTTTGGAAATGTTGAACTTAAGGCTTCTATAACATCTTGTCAAGATGTTTGGGAGAAAGTAAGATGTACAGGTTTTTTAACTTAGCAAGGCCCTGACAACTGTTCTGATGGGTGTTTATGAGGTTTGTGGTTGTAGGAAGCAACCTTGGTATCTTCTTCTGGGGCAAAGGAAAGGCTTGCTGACTGCTTGATATAAAAGAAGTGGATTTCCCAAACTCAGTGTTCCTCTCCTGTAATGTAACCCCCAGCATGTTCAGGCTTCCATCTGGGCCCCTCTCTGGGGTATGATTAGGCTGTAAGACCCATAAGGATAAATCTGGTGAAGCCGGGACGGCTGTCTGGTAGCACGTGGTAAAATCTCAAATGGACAGGTGCCAAAACCTACTCTGAGAACAACCCCTCATAGCACAGACAGGTTGACCACAATAGTAAACACTAAGGTAGCACATTCTCAGGGACATCAGAGGACTTGCCCAGTTTATGCTTCATCTTTAACTCTGGAAAAAACATAGTCTAAGTCTTACGTCCTATTTTAAGAGTTCCATATTCTCTACCTAGGATGTTCCAGCTTATCTATTTAGTAATTGGGCAACACCTTTTATTGGGACATTGGATCATGAGTTAGCAAGTTTCCTTAAGAATTTCACTGTCCTTATTACTTCCTCCCACCCCAAATCTTGAGACAGCAGGAGAAACCTGAGAAGGGGAAAGTTTCATTATTAGAAACAAAATTATGAAGATTCTTTTTCATTTATCACATTAAAATCTTTTACCAGTAGATCTAAATATGCCCGAAGAATGCTATGTCTACTAGATGCTCTGGAAAAAGTGTTCCAGATGCCTAGAGACTGCAAACTGGACATGGGTAAGAGTGGGTGGGGTTGGGAGGTAAGGGAGGATACTAAGAACAAACTGTTAACAGCGTGCAAAGTACCCAGAGGGAAAGAACTTTGGGATGGGGGCCAGGCGTTTCCTCACAGTGAGGTGGACAGGATTATGAAATAGCATCCTAAGAGACCATTCACTTACAGAGTTAAAAGCCCTCCAGACTAGAAAATG